AATTATGAAGATTAATTGTTTCAAATCAAAGTTTACAGATTAGATTAATAATTGATGCGAATTTTAGGAATACAAATTATATTTTCAGGGGAGTTATCTCCCAAAGTTTGTAGGGATTATATATATGTATACAAACATAAAGTTTAAGGGTTATATAATTAACAATTGTGGGTCGTCTGTACAAATTTAAAAATTAGGGTGATTTGTTGTTAAGTTGTAAACATTAAGAGAGTTATTTATATATATAAAATTTAAAGTGTAGGAAGTTTTGTGTAATTTAATGTTAAATTAAGATTGAGACGTGCATCTTAAATTAAATGAAAGAATGAATTAGGAGGAGGAGATTGACGCGGTCCACTAAATAATTAACGATTTCGAAGGGGGTGGGGCCCAAAACAGTCTGTAATCTTGACTTTGGACACGTAAGAAGTATGGATTCGATTTGGGTTGACCCGATGATCACATAAAAATAGCATCTATACTGAATGTCGTTATTTACTTATTTGGTTGTAATAAATCTGTCCAAGCATTTTAAGTCTCACTAACTAACCGCCAAAGTCAACCCTCTCTCTTCTCCACACCCTTTAATTCGTTCCTCTTCTTCTTCCACCTCATCATTAACTCATTCCTCTCCTACTTTTAATTTGCTAAGATCTAGTCTTACAGTATCATATCTTTCTGATCTCCATCCATCCACACGTATATATTACAATTTATATATACCCATGTTATTAGCTGTAAAAGAAAAGAAAATAAAAGAAAATGTTGCTTCAATTTAACTGCATTTTACTCTTATTTCCAATCAAGGCATTCAATTTAACTGCATTTTACTCTTATTTCCAATGAAGGGATATTGTTACGGTGAACTGTTCATATTAAACAGATTCCCCCCCCCACACAAGTAGGAGTGTACTGTATGTTGTGTGGCTATATTTAAATCATGGATGTGTATTTCGCATATGCAAGAAAAAAGTTGTTTTAATATGATATTGGAAGCTTATAATTATTGCCGTTCTCTAATATTCGATTTTAGATGATTCACATGATTGAGATTAAATTCAGATGAATGAATATTGATGATGCATGGGGTTGATAAGGGGGTCACACACATATTTTGACACTATTTATCACCAACCACAGTCATCTTTCAATCATCGAGGTTATTATTATTTTTTTTTTTGGCTACGCATGACATCCTCTTATTGGAGACAATCCTATTCGAGATACCGTGAGTCATTAAATGTGAACATCTCTTTCAATAAAATTTTGAACATTGGTTCACAATATTGTGAGAAATTAGTCCCTTTCACTAAACCTAATCTCGTTTTTAATTATTGAGGTTATTAATGTTTAATTGCGGTGAATTAAATGGGGAGAAAAAGGCTACTGAACACACTTTGCAGGAAATAAGCGCAAAAGAAGATATATTATCTATTGGGAATCCGCAAATGTTTTATATAATTTGTTTTTTCATGAGATCTAAAGAATGTTTCGCGAGGAAATTAAAAGGTGATTTATATGTATTAGTATATGTAGTTACTTGTGAGAGGCAGCTTTCGCACTTTCTGCTAACTAGTTAACCAGGTCAAGGAAGGCCCAGCACACCCACACACACAGTATGTGGAAAGATAAGAGAAAGATTCAATCGTAGTACTCCTACGCTGTTAAATATAAAATCCATTTACACTATAAAATAGGATTTACATTTAAAATCAGAGAAGTATTTTATTTAAATACGAAGTGGTCAAAAAGTGCTGATTAATAATCAATTGCTCGTCAAATTTTCCAAATCGAAGGTTTCGTACGTGAGGTCAGGGTTCTAAGCAACTATTGCCTTGATTTTTTTTCCCCTTCTTTTTTTTGGGTCTTCAATCTTTATCTTCGTTTTCTATTTGGCAAATCCAACTAAAGCAGTCAAATTTACGCTAAAAATATGCTCCTTCACAGGCTTAAATAATCTGCATAAAACCACTAATTCCCAAGAAATCAATATAAAAATAAACCAAACACCAAAAAATATCAAAAGAAAAGTTGTTAAGAAGTTGCCATATATATATATGGGGGGTTTGGTTCTTAAAAACGTGCAAATCAACGCCAGGGGTTGATGACTATGTTAAGCAGACTAAAATTTACACACATATATTTAAGTAGATCACAGTTTTGAATAAATATTATCCTTGGCCAGCGCATATATAAACCCTATCCTCTCCGGGGAAATCATAGGGTGTGACCAGACTTTTTGTGGAGTCAAAGATTTTGGTAACTGCTTTGCGAGATCCCCATCATAATCCCTATTATGTTTTGCTTTTACACGCTTCAAATGTGACAAAAACCAAAATAAATGTCCAAAATGAGAATATTTGATACGGCCTATGGCATTCCATGCACATAATGAGAAAAATGAACTTTTAAATTATGTTATCCTAATCTCTGTCTTAAAAGAATTTCGAATGAGCAAAATGAAGAAAATTATTCATTTTAAGTACACATAGAGAGAATTCAATTAATCATCTCCGCTCGATGATAATCAAATTCATATTCATTTTCTTCTAAACTCGATCAAACTAGAATATTAAATCTTATGTAGATAAATGAGTGCTGTTATGCTGTCAATCAGTTTGTCTTTTATTAAATTCTCCCTTTTCTTTCTCAACTTTAGTACTCTCCAGCATGTTAATTCTTTTTCTGCCTGATCATGATCATATTCCTCAATCTACATAATGAATACTCCTGTCTCTTCCAGACAGATTATCCCTTGTTCCCTTGATTTTTCCCTTATATATATATATATATCTCGATATCATCAGTTATGGTCTTTCCTTCTTTTCCATTAATTTTATCCCTAAATGTTTTATAGACAGTTCACAGCACTCCCCCTACTTCAACGTAAATGTTAATACCAAATGAGATAGACTTTCACAAAGAAGAAGAAAAGGATATTATACTCTAACATTAATTGCAAACTACAAGATGATGAGTTGGGTATAGTCAATAGTAACGGTTCAAAATACCGCCGTGTAATGGCAACGAGCAACAGAATCTATTTGAAGTAGCTAGAGCTTCCATTGTTTAGAGGGACTCTAATCATCTTCTCCATCGTCTGAATCATCTGACCTCTTTCTTTTGGCTCCACCCTCAGTTTCATCGTTGATGTCTTCACCAGTCAAATCACTAGATCCTTCCTCATCCTCATCAGGAATTTCAGCACGGACGTCGACGATCTGTTAAAAAAAAAAAATTGAAGCATGAACCAAGAATTGAAATAAAGAAACTAAAAAGAGAAAAAGGAAAAACGATGCACAGGAAAAATCTTATTCAAACTGACATCGTCTGCAGCTCCCCCCTCCTCGTCACCGGAACCGTCATTGTTGCCATCGGAATCGTCGACACCACCATCGTGCTCGCCAGCATCTTCTTCCTCATCGTCGTCCTCATCATTATCCCCTTCGCCTTCAGGAGCTTCAACATTGTCACCATCATCTCCTTCCTCCTCCTGCTGCTCCTCCTCATCGTCTCCTTCACCGCCAGCGTCGTCGTCATCCTCGGCTTCTTCCACTTCATACAGATTCAAAACCACCTCATCTTCCTCCACATGCTCTTCAAGAAAGACTCGCATCATTCTTGTCATCTTCATTGCGGCTACGGAAGATCTCAAGCCAGGCACTGCACACTCTTCTGCGCTCACTTCTTTGGGCTTCCTCGATAGACTCTGCGCCAGAAAGCTGTTAATATTCTGTTAAATTAACCAAGAGTGAGAACATTCGCTTTGCATGCTTGGGTCGCTCAATGGCCAAAATGCCCATGGACTTAATTGCCCGTGGAAACAAAGAGCTGTACGTCAAAATTGGAGTAATGGAGTATGCCTGATGGTCCCTCTCCCATGGGTGGGGCGGGAGGGGATTTTAAATGGTTAAAATAAAATAAAATAAAATTAGTTAGTTAGTAGAAACTCTCAAGGACTCCGAGTTTACGACCAAATTTATGCTCTCTCCTATTAAAAGAAACCAATATTCAGTCCTACGTGGAAAATAGAGAAAACACATATAAAACAATTATATAAAAATTTCAAGAATATAATCATCTCCCCGTGTTTTGACGTTGGTTAAAATTTGAAGAAAACACCAGTCCCTTTTTCCATATAAAACATTTTTAAGAAGTACTTCGTCTGATTTATATTGCTTTAAGTTTTTAGATTTGAAAATTCAATATACTTTTTAATTTACATATGATATAAAAATTCTAACAATAGGATTTTTCTTTTTTCTTTCTGTTTTTTAACAATGAAAGGGCAAGCAAAAGCTTGAGAAATAATAGGATTATTTTTTCAATGTATGTACTACCTTCAGTCTTTAATATATGATCTTATTTGACTTTAATTTTGATCTTAAATATAAGATCTCAATCTACTTTGTCTCTCATATTTATGTTTTTTTTTAAAGATAGTCCTTCTAATAATTATAGTTCTAACCAATACACTTGATTAGTAAGGATATTTTAAAAAAGATAACACATATTTATTATAAATAAATAACTAACTTAACTTATTTTTTTAATCTTTTTAAATTAACTAACTGACTTTTATAATTAAGTAGTACTGAGAAGAATAGCATTATTCTTATTCGCGAGCAAAAAAATTGGAAACAAAAATTCGCAAGATCCTGTCGAGAAAAGTGCCAAGCAAGTGAAAGCTGACAAGGGCTGAAAAGAGAGGCGTACGGAAAAATGAATAAGCCTACAAGGTTGATATACCTTCGAATTTGACCAACACGATGCATCTCATTAACTTGATTAGGAAGTTGAGGAAACTGGGATGATTAAATTGAATTGTTTTAAGTCAATAAATGCACGAAGGATTAAACTGAAATATTCTATTAGACGAACACCAGAGTTAACCATCCGAATCTAAAGTAGTACTTTAAAACAGATATTCACAAAACCAGCAAATTTAGGAGCAAAGATAAAACCTCTGAAGATAAAAGCAAAAGATAGTCAGACATACATAAACACCTGAACAGATTTAGGAAATATTTATTTTACCCAATTCTTACAGTAGCATAGCGAGCATTCATATAAAATTTGTTAACTGAGTTGTGGTAATTGATCATTTCCTTTTTTGGACCTCATGCATATGCCGGATATTAAATTCAAAAAAGCCTAGTACAAGATTATTATTTAATTAATGGACTAGGACGATAGTTGAATATTTTAAGTTCCAAGTTTCGTCTTCATAAATTGACCACAGTTGACTACATTGCATGTCGCCTCCCAGTAAGTTCAGAGTTCATTCGGTGGCCTTGCCTTTCCGTCTGCTGCTGCTGCTGGTTTCCAAGAGGTAACAAACCATAGATTCCACATCATCCCCAAATATGCTATAGGCCTCTATCGCCTGCAGGTAGCTGAATCCCATGGATAGCACCATCTGCATGCTATTGCTCAGATTTGAATCTCGCTCTTTCCCCGTCTCCGTCTTGCCATCTCCACCTGATGATCCTGCCACACATTGATTTATCTACTCATTCAATGGGTTTCATGCCAAAATGTAAACAAGCCTCAACTTTTTACCACATTTCGGTCTCCTTCAGTTTTAAAAATTTGTGTTTGTATATGCATGAAGGTGATGAAGAAACTCACTTGCTCCAGAAGATGATGGTTCGGCATTTGAAGTGGAGGATTCTCTATGAGCAAGCTGCTGCTTAAATGTAACATCAGCAAGATATTCAGCCCGAGAAGCTTCTATCACCATGTGCTCAATCTCCTTTTCTGTAAACTCAAGATCGGAGTAAAACCGTCCCTCTGCTAAAAGTGCCTGTTCAGAGAAACAAGAAAATGCTGTCAACGCTAAACTCAACAACATTTAGTTCGCACCCCATTTCAAGATACTTGCATTATCAATCTGTTGGTCTTGCTGAGCTTTGATTGCAGCCTTGACTTGATCTTTGTCAACGTTTGTCTGCATTATAATGCCAAAAAAGCCAGAGAACAAAAAAAGAACATCAGCCATTAGTTGACCAAATGATATATATATATATATATATATATATATATATATGATGAAGAGTCATTTTCACGAGTTATAGGGTCACTTCCACGAGCTTCCTGAACCTTGGCGAGGTTTATGTGCCTACCAATTGTTTCAATTGGTATATAAACATCAATTACCAACATTTTTTATCAGAACAGAGCACAATAGAAAGAATACAAAAGGGAGGCACTGCAAGAAACAGAATGATAGGTAAGATACACACCCCACGAAGGCAGCTAAACCCCAGTCCTGCACCAATTGTCAAGCGTCGTGGGTCAATAAGGGAATTGTAATGATTCCCATGATGATAACTCAGTCGTATGGGTGGTGTGTCAGTGTCATAATTTCCATGAAAGATGTTGATGGGTTCTGCGTCAATAATTGATGTTAACAAAGAGCGCGTAACTAATAATGACAAACATTCATTAAAATCACTCCCTCTAATATGAATTAGTACCTATAGTATAATAGTATATATGAATGGGACGATTATACATCTCACACATGGACTGAATCTCAACATTGTTTCCATAGACCTGCCAAGCACAAAAAATACACATTAGAAAGGCTCCACCCCCGCCCAGAGGACCACGTGCATTTGATAGATAACATTAAAAGGATTGCAATGTCTTCGTCACATAACCAAATATGTGAATTGATCTTATTTCTAGTGCTCCTGTTCTATAACACTGAAAAGTGGTGACCACTGTCCCTCGAATTGTGCCATGTATTCATATTTTAACTCATGAATGAATAGAATGATAAAATTCAGTAAGTAAATGCTTACTTAGGAAGCGTTTGGTTCCTGGAAATGGGCCCTAGGGAATGGGGGGAATATGGCATTACATCACTTTGTGCATTTGGTTGCAGTCATTGTCACACTAACAAATGCCTGTTACCATAAATTAAGGAATCATCATTCCTTTGAAAAATGAGATGGCACATTTACCAAAATATCAAGATATCACATCATCATCCATATCCTTCCTCGCATTGTCAGGTCATCCATCTCATTCCTTGCATCGACCAATCTCCACAACTCTCATCTAGATGAAAGGAGAAACCATCTGTAATGATTGCATCTAGATCGTTCTGACATGGTTCACCCTTCCCCAGGCAGCAACAATTTTGTGTAGGCAACAATTTCTTTTTTATTTTTTTCACTGGATATGTGTTTCTGTTTTTTTTTTCTTGCACTGGATCTGTGTTTGCTGCTGAGAGAGGGATTGAGGTTGAAGAAAGGAGGAATGACAGCAATTGTAATGTGGATGCCAGGGCACAGCTGGGGAAGATGTTCAATTTTGGTGTGGATGCAATGATGGCACGTGTCAAACAAGGAAGAGAAGGAAGGGGAGAGGAAAAATTGATGCAGGCTGTTATAGTCTGTTAACTTCTATTTATATTTAGTTACATAAATATTTTTCCAATATCATACTACAAAATAGTTTGCTAGTTATCCAAACCCAATCTCTTCCCTTCTCCGGTTGCCGTAGAATTGACCTAAGGTGGCTTCTTTTTTTTTTTTTTTTTTAGTTTTTCCTTTCATAATACATTTAAACAAACTTATGTCATTTTTTAAATATTTCTTCAATTGAAATTTATTTTCCCGATTAATTATTACAGCATCCACTCTCTCCAACCAAATCATTAAATAGACTCAAATTTTACTCCAACTATCAATCTCATATTATATACTACCTCCGGTCTTTAATATAAGACCTTGTTTGACTTTTATTTTAATCCTAAATATAAGACCTCAATCCACTTTGTCTCTCATATTTATGCTTTTTTTTTTCTAAGGTAGTCCTTTAATAATGGTGGTTCTAACCAATACACTTGATTAGCAAGGATATTTTAGGAAAGACAATACCCATTTATTACAAATAACTAACTTAACTTCTTTCCTTAATCTCTTCAAATTAGTCAACTAGCTCTTATAATTAAGACCAGAGGTAATACATAATATATCTCCTTACTCAAAATATGTGTTCATTTAAAAATTTTATAAATGGAAAAAAACACAGCAAACATGCATCCCACCATTTTAACAAGATCAGCGATCTTCTGGCCATATCAAGCAAAACTGAGTGTGTTCCAGTCATCTTTAGCCACACCCAGCACATGTCATTCTCTTGTTTCAATGTCGCACACAATGGGCACAAGCAACGTCACATTCGTCATGCACAAGACAGGCAAGATCGCAGTTGCAACACAAGGATTTTAATATACAGCCCCTTATTGAGGTATGCAGCACACCCCCAGAATTGGCAATCATGTCCAGCCAACATCCATTCGGATGACTATCTCTGTATACTCACCCAACAGGAGGCTATGCTTTACTCTTAATCAGCATGCATAATTTCAAGGAAATAAAATTAAAATGACTAGAATTGAAAAAAGTGTTCAAACTACATAATAAATGGGAAATGGCTCTCTATAAAGCAACAAGAGAGTTGTCAATAAACTGTTTAACTCCACCACCCATGCAAAAAAAAGGCAGAGACAACACAAATCAAGCACTAATTATCATTTATGCACCCTCGCCCAAATGCATGCTTTAATATGTTCCTTAAAAATTCACTTCCCCACACACACTCCTCCCAGCAAACCAAAAGAAAAACCTCCAATGCTATTTTTTTCCCGGTTATATCCCACATGCAGCTTTGAAGGTCAAGTTTTCCATCTTGCAAAATGGTAACAGTCAATTTGAAATCGATATTAATAGGAAGAATAACTTGGCCAGCATGTCTCCTAAGATGCTCAACATCTAAAAAGATAAGTGGAAAAAAAAAAAAGGAGGGGCAGAAAGCAATTTATATAAACGCATATAATCAGATAACCCAATAACTAGAGATACAAACCACAAAATTAGAATCAATAGCATCTCAAACTATACTTCGGCATACCTTATCTCTTCTCTTCCTCTTACAATAAGATGTGAAGCCTTCCGTAATAAATTGAGAAAAGTGGTCTCTTTCTCGCTCCTGGAGATAATTAAGAAAAAAAACAATTGTTCTAAAGCTCAATAAAACTTCTATCAATGGATAAAGGCAAGAAAATAAAATATCCAGGAAGTGATATTCATGCACTGCGGAAAAAAGCTACATGTTATAGAGCAGAACCACTTTGCCAGTGAAGCATCCAATGAGTCATATAGTAGAAATATCATATTTTTCAATCAAATTACAATATCTGCATAGATGCATGACAAAATGGAGGAAGGTAACAGGAATCTTTAAAAATTCTCTCAAACAACGTAATAGCCCATTGCCACTCCCGTTCAACAATAGCATAAAACTAAACGTCATAAATCCAAATTACAATGTCAAAGGCCACAAAAATCATAGGCACGAAGGAGGATGTCATCAAATGGATATGCAATCAACAAGGCAGATTTTCAGATATAATAATGTGAGCCACAGATAGAAGATGAAGATTTAGAAACAAAATAACTAGAACGTCACAGTACCATATAGTCTATGCACATCTGTCGGACCCGATCATATAAATCAGAGTCCCCATAAACCTGGTCTGCAACTGCACGAAAAAGACAGTTTCCATCCTCCAGCATTCTTTTTACTTCATAACCTTTTGCCCTTCTGATATCAATTTCAAATTGCCGCTCTCTCTCCTACATTATATATCAATACCTCATCAATAAAGGATGAATATCATGGGAAACACTGTCAAGCAATAAATTGTAATATCGAAGCAGCAAAAACCAGTGGTGCCTGATTTACACTTTGCCAAGGCACATGGTGTGTGTATAACTCAGAGTTAGGGAGATACAGAATGTGTGATTGTGTATAATGTGGAAGGAAAATAAGGGTATGTTCCTTTGTTACACAGCAGAGGGAGGCAAGAGACTTTCGTTTTTTTCTGTCTAGTGCCAATTTAATTATTATAGATTAAATAGTTTATTTTTAAATTATCAGCATTAAATATCCTACTCCCCATCTTCCTTTTTACCTCCTGTATGCAAAATACAAAGTCAACCCAAACCAAATCAATTTCCTATTCTCCTCATATTCTCTCAATTATATTCCCACACCATATTCATTCCCTATATTTCGCTCTCAACCATTCACTCTGATACTAGAAACCAACAATACAACAATTAAAAATTTAATACACACACATACACAAAATAATGTAAAAATATGACATAAGAGACCAAAAAACTAAGGACGCTCAACAAAAAACACCAATGATTCCCTTTCTATTCTAGAATATTCTCATCTATGTTAGAGCCCATCCCAAATTGCCTTGCATGATTTCCTTAAGTCATCCAACTTCCTTTTCCATGCCAATAGCTGGCTGCTTGCATAGCAAGCACAAGTTGAGGTGTACGTAGCAGAAGCTGAGAACAAAACTGGTTTATTGATTTTGGAATTCCAATACACGAACATATCTTATTTGGAAACAGAGGATCAGGAACGGAATTCAAGGGGAAACCCAATTAAGAAACAAGGAAAGAAACAACCTCCAAATAGAAAAATACGTAAATATACCAGGGCAAGCCTTTACCACAAAACCAGCATAGAGGCTTCAAGTTTCAACATAAGATTTGTTCACAAAATCAAGTTATCTAAATCACCTATTCATCTAAATCAAATTATCATCAAAGAGAATTTATAAAGCCGATGCACAAGATTTGTTAACTAAATAAGATTTTGTTAACTGTTAACTTACTAAATCATCATAAGAGGACGGACAGCATGGAATCTGTTCGTCAGCGCTATTGTAGCCCTCATTCTCATTAAGAGACTTCGGGGAAGTGGGTCGAGACCCAGCAGGTGAAGTCCTGGCTGAAACAACGGGCCACGCAGATGCTCTTCGAGACGGTCCTATTTGGACAGCATTTGAATTTGATGACACATTTTTCTTTGAATTCAAGTTCGGGGCTGACGGTTTTGGAGGAGGAACAGGAGGAGGTGGCGGATTTGGAGTACTGTTAGCACTGCGCAAAGAATCACCGCTTGAACCCTCGCTTCCTGTTGCAGGTCTTTCTGAAATTTTCAATCCACACAACCCGTTGTCATATTCTCGCCTACCCGCTACCTCCTCCTTAACAGCTTCCTCAACGTCAGCTATTTCATCACTTGTGTCATTCTGATTCTGCTCAAAATGAAGATTTTCTACCAAATGATCGTCGTTCTTTGTCTTCCCGTCACTACTCCCGGAATAGTCCAAAAGCTCGTTGTTAACAACTAGGTCCGGTACCTCCTGTCCACTGTCCTCATCTTTCGCAGTCGCAGGAGCCGGGGGAACTACTGCGGATGGCTCTGCCCGAGTTGAAGAAGAACCGGACAGAGAAGAACGACTTGGGTTTGATGAAGAAGTGCCAGACGAACCCCGCTGAACCAAAATCCTCGTCATCGTATTTAATTATTCTTGTCCACAGATAAGCTCAGTCCTAATTTCCCTCTCCCGAATTTAAAGTTCCAAAACCCTGTTCATCGGTTTGTCGCGTGTTCTTGCCTTGGGCACAGTGATGCCAATCCCTTGTCTGAACGATGACTTCCAGCCCAGTCCCACGCAAAACGATCTCTGCATTCCCCTAACAATTCTCATGAGACCCAGACCTCGGACTTCAAACAACAAAACCAGCTAAAGCAGTCAAATTTACCCTAAAAAATACGCCTTCACAAGCTTAATCTGCAAAGAACCATTAATTTCCCAAGAAATCAATATAAAAATAAGCCAAATGCCATAGAAAATATTTTCAATATAAATTATGTCAAAAGAAAAGTTGTAAGAAATCGCCAAGGCAAGCACTGACCAGCGCAAGGGTTAGAAAAGAAAGGGAGCCAATTATAACCAATCACAAACAGTCGATCACAGACAATCAAGATAAAACGAAGCCCCCCATTTTAAAAAGAAAGCGAGGAAGAATAGAACGTGAACAAGAACTGGAACTGGAACTGGAACATCTGATTAAGCATGAAGAAGACGACGCACCTGAGGAAGAATGATAGGCAGGGAGGGAAGACCGCAATCCTAAAATGATCTGTGTAAACGCTGAGTGAAACCGCTGGGAAAACCAGTCAGAGGAAGAGAGAAATTGATTAGGGTTGTTGAGAACAAGAAGCAGCGTATACAGAAAATGAGAAACTTGCAGATAGAGGGAGGGCACGGGATGTGGCGTCCTATCGGTGAGACCTGAGGGAAGGGACAGCCACGTGACGTGGTGTCAAAGAGGTTCAGGCTCGTCTGCACTGCACTTTCCAGGGGCTATGTTCGGCATGCCTTGTGGCATGAGCGATGTCGATTTTATGGTTATAACTAGCTTTGTTTATTTGTTATTTCTGTAACTTAATATTTTCATTATATAGTTTTGGGAAAAGATTTGTAATAAATATACTTGCATGGACAGATTTTAAGTTTTAGATCTCGAATTAATTATAGTATGATTTTAACTTAAATGCTTATACAAAATATAAAGTGAAAAATATATATTTATAAAATTAAAATTTTAATAGAAATAAAATAATGTAATTTTCTATTCTCCCAATCCGAAATATAAAGCATCTTTACCTAATTCACAAAAATTAAGAAAAGAATTTAAATTGGGTTTTTTAATTAATGGGCCAACAATTTTTGATAATTTTTCTGAAATATTTTTCTCCTTTGTTGCATTATTGACTTTCATTCATTTAAATTAGCAAAAAAAATGATGCATTATATAAAGATATTTTTAAAAAAATAATTAATGTAATGAAAAATAACTTCTTGTATTAAGAACTAAATGAAAATTTCTAATAAGGTCATATAATTAAGATAGGAGTGTCTTTTTTTTTTTTTTTCACCCTACATCAAAGTTACATGTACGTGAGCAAGCACAGATAAAATATTCCACCATTTACATGCTGATCATATTAGGTAGTTTTTTTTTTAATTAGATGTTAGTTTTACATAAAAATAGCTAGGGAGAAATACTACGAATAGATTGATAACTCCCGGCCAAAAAAATTAGAAAAAAGATTGATATCGATGTTATTCTTTTCATCACCCTCTCGCTGGGACGTGCCAAATGGGTCATAGTCTTGCTTTGAAGTCCCGTTTTTAATCATTTTACATGAAACTAAATAGGTTTTTATTGCATTAGATAGAACATAAGTCAGGGCCATTTTGGCCAAAGATCGCCAGAGGATAACAGGCAGAAAAAAGAAAACATAGAATACTACTATAGTTTGCTCACAAACAATTTTATTCATCTCATCCACTGAATTGCCATACACGGAAGCTTCTCTTCCATAAATGCAAAGATCGCATGATTTATAGTACATCACTTAAAAATTGTTATGATGAAAGAATCAGAGCACGCCCATCTGTATATCCTATTTGTGCTATCAAAGAAAATTTATGCTTTGGCATATTCCAAAAATAATCGAACAAACCCCATAGAAGGGGCCACCGGAAAAAAAAAAAAAAAAGGGCATTACTGCACACTCAAACTGCATCCTCTACGTCGTCTTCAGTTTCCAACCTCGCGAAGCAAGTGTTTCACGAACCCTTTTAGCAGCATCAGCGGTATCGTTAAGAGGTGGGTAGCTCCAACTTTCTTTCATCTGAAAGATTTATTGACCACACTAACCAGTTAAAACTACCATAGGTTTTTCAAACACAAGGCAAATTCCAAAGCCTCCATCCTTCCACAATAATGTCAATATTAATATGATATATTTGATAGCTCCCTTATAAGCCTTAAAAAAAACTGCATTTCATAGTTAAGCCACAATGACACTATAACTTACATCTTCAGACCCTGTAAATGGCCGAACAACTCCTTTCTCCCTCAACAACTTGTGGAATTCAGTGAATTTCCATCTGCATCGCTCTGCTCCCATAACATAGACAGGCTTCCTGAAAGAACAAAATTGTCACATTAATAAAGATACGGTACTAAAACACTGGAATCAAGGAAAGTAAATAAGAATATTTTGTCACAAGATGCTTCTTCATAGGTATACCCAGTGCTGCAAGCCTCGCTTATCATACTGACTGAATCAGCAGTGACAACAAATGCATCAGCCCAAGCTAGATGCCCCATATGGGGGTTAGGTTCTGACAAATGCGGAAATCAATGGCAGCGTTAATGACTATATTAAACTAAAATTTACATATTTAAGTAGATCACAGTTTTGAATAAATATTTACCTTTGCCATCCCATATATAAACTTTTGGATTATTTCCCAATTCCTTCACTATAATGTTTGACAGCTGTTCAAAACGGCGAAAGTGTCAGAAATGAAGAGAGGTTCTCATATTTCTTTCCAGAAACATCATAGGTGTGGCTATACCTTTTGCGGAGTCCTCCTGGAGAAGGATATTCTCACACTCCCGCAGGAAACAAGAACACTGAGCAAAGACCTTGCTAACTGCTTTGCAAGGTCCCCACCATATCGGCAGTTTCCTATATAAAATATAGAAATTACAATATTTAATCCCTATATTTGGCACACTTCAAGTGCGACAAAAACCAAAATAAATGTAAAAAATGAGACTATTTGTTATGGCATTTCACATAATGAAAAACTTAACCTCTAAATTATTTTATCTTAATCTTTGCCCTAAAAGAATTTCAAATGAGCAAAATCATGAAAGAGAATTATTCATTTTATGTACGTAAAGAGAAAATTCAATGATATCCACTACATGAATAAGAGATACAGTCGAAAGTACTTCCATTTGTATTATTTAAGTTGTTTCCAGGTTGCCGTGATTAGTCCCTGTCGTCTCCAATGATTTCTTTACATGCATCAACTATCACATATTGGTAAGATAAACAATGAAGGGCAGGCAGCGGCAGTCATATTCATATTCACTTTCTTCTCAACTCAAACTAGAATCATAAATCTCATGTAGATAAATGTGTACTGTCGTAACCAATTAGGTAATTTAGCATAATGGAAGGAGTACCTAGTTGTCTTTTATTAATTTTTCTCTCCTCTTTCTCAACTTCAGTACTCCCCAGTTCCTTCTCCTGCGATTCACTCCCTGTTTATGTTCCTCTTCTATTAAAAGTTCACAGGGGGAATGGAAGAAGTTACTACCTCTTGTCCTAAATATAAAAGCTAAGAAGTTATTACCTCCGGTCCTAGTGGCTAGTTTGTAGTGTAAATTGCATTACAAGCTAGCTACAATATTTGGGACCGAAAGTAGTAATTCTTTTTCTATCTCATGGCCATATTCCTCAATCTACTTAATGAATGATTTTGTCTCTTTCAGGCAGATTCTCCCTTGTTCCCTTGATTTTTTCCTTCTTTTTCTATCTCATGACCATATTCCTCAATATAAGACCCACTTTATAGTATAATTTATAGTGCAAATTACACTACAAAATGGGTTTTATATTAAAAACCAGAGGAATTATTATCCTGCAACATATGAAAATTGCAAGATCAAGAGTTGAGCATGCCCAATGATAAAAGTTTTGCAGAAATTACGTGTTGGTCCTCCAATGTTAACCACGAGCAAGGGTCTAGGAACATGTTCAAAATCATCCCGCCATGTAATGGCAGCATTACGAAGAGCAGCAAAATCAATCTGATGTAGGGCTCCCGTTGTGAGAACCTGAATATGCATTACAACATAATTGAACACTCAGGAGTAGACCACAGGTAGGATCAGAATAAGGTCAATATCCCTCAAAACATGAGCTATTTTATGGTTATATGTGTATTATACATACCACACGACTATCAGGAGGCTCACGTGGAGTAATCCACTTTCGAATAAACCAAGGGACCTGTATCTGTGCTTCTGGAGTCAAGGGATAATAATCATGTTTAGGTGTAATCACCATATCAAACCTATGCAAATGTGACCTTGGATGTTGTATCTGCCCAACAAAATTAAAATCAGAAATCAAACCTGAAGTTTTATCCACGGTAAAGAGCTTCAAATAAATTACCCCAAAAAAACAAAAGAGAGAGAGAGCTGCAAGCAAAATGCTTATCAAAAAATGAATGCAAAAATTCAATATTTATTGGAAAATAATTGAACACGGGGGATTTCAAAGACAAAATATAATTAGTTAAGCCAGTTTCCCTGGAATGCATTTATAGCTCCCATTTTTGTTAATAACCTGCTGGATTTCCTTCTTGAAAACATCTAAAAGGCATTAAATCTTTCACTTCAGAATAAATCACAACTAACAAAATCAGTTGAGGTCATACTTCCAAAAAAAAAAAAAAGCATAAAATAATACAGCAGGAATGGAACTGAACCATATTGATTATGTCTACAAAACATCACCAGAAAAACACAATGGTACATCCGGTATATATTGATCCAACTTATCTATAATATAAGATGTCACGGAAAAGTTGAATGAAAAATGAATTACAGACCTGAACAACAAAAACATTGTCAGATGCTAAGCGTTTAATTGAGCTAGCAACAGAAATGGTATCTCTTCCAGATGCAACCACCAGTAAGGGTCCCTCCCTGGATAAAAATATCAATATCAATCTTAGCAAGTAGCCAAAGATTAGGAAGAAAATACAAGATGATGACCGTGAGCTGAAAGGACATCCAAGTACAAGAATGATGACTAATATTACAGACATAGGAATCAAAAAAGTAAACCAATTGGATTTTGTCTATCAAGTTAAACAAGTAAAAATATTTTTCATTTGGAGTAACAAAAGGTGTGACCAACACAGATGTTCGAGAAATCTTGGACAAGTTTGTATCTATTTCTCCTCTTAAATGAAAAAGGTAGATGAGGAACCGCAAAATCTAAGCAGGATAAGTTAATCATCAACAAGAAATTAACTTGCAAATCAATTTAACTGCCGATGCAATGTAAATTTTTAAAAAACCAATACTTCACCTAGACATCCTGTTCTCATTAAATCACAAAATTACGAATCACAAAAGCATTTGACATCAGTATCTGCAATTGCCATGACATGAAAGAAGAAGAAAACTAGATTTCCTATGCTCTGAAAATCATTTTAATTTACATTCGGCTTTACAACTAAAAGAATAGAAATGGGATGTACTTCTCATAAGTTTCACGAGCCAAATTTACTATATGCTTTACATCTGCTTCTAGAATAGCTGATAAGCCAACGCCATTTTCTGAAGGAGGAGGCATTAGATTCTTTTCTTGCGATTTCGTGAGTAGTTGAGAGTAGCCATGGATAAGATTTAGTAGATAATTTATTTTTTTGTGGACAGAGACAGGAAGCCAGCGAAGCCAATTGTTAATCCCTCCTTTTGGCCTGGTAACCCGCTGCAATAATTCAGTCATGAATTGTTAAACAAATAAACTTTCATGGTAGCTATGTTACATGAACATAGTGCTGCTAAAGGAAGACGCATTGAACCAAAATATGAACATAGCTAGAGAATATCCAGCAAACAAACAACATGGCCAAGCATATGCGGTTACTTATTTAGTCAGTTCCTAGATGCGAGGCATGACTTTTAAATTTTAATATTGCATATTAACTAATAACGAAGAAAACAAAATCAACTTTTCTCTGTACGAAAAATAAATGTTGACAAAGAAAATTCCAGCCCTCAGTAACATTTGTCACAGGACAATCACTACCAGTAGAGGGAACAAAATATCACCAGGATGAAAATCTTATTGCAGTTACCAGCATAAATACATTCATTTCCCTCAGTTCTTAACTATCCTTGTTCATCAATATCATCCTCGTTGCCGCCCCATCATTGAATAGGGTGCCCTTCCATTTTTTCAACCTTTTTCCTGGTTTCATATTTCCATTTGCCAATTAACAATTGACAACATCATTATTGTCATCAGAGGTGGCTTTTCTCCCCTAGCTTCCATGATTAGTTGCGAAATATTTAGGGAATAAGTAACTCGGTTCTACACAATCAATAAGGTGCGAAACTAGTTTCCAGCCTTTAACAACCAACATCATCGAAATACTTTTCTCACTCCGGCACTACTACTAGTCATGAGGGTTGACGGGTGTAAACCCGAGGTCAATCGCAAACCAAGTTTCTCCCGGTATCACTCTTGGCAAGCAAGACAACGCAATTTTTTCCCATTATAGGCATGCTCATCAGAGAACAGCCTTGAGGGTAGTTCAGAAGGCCATATGATCTAAAAGGGCACAGAAGAGGTGTTCATGTAATCCTAAGTTTGTTTTCAAATAAAGATATGAAGCTTGAAGGGCAAATTCAAAATTCAAGACCAGTCAACAGCACGCCCCTCATAAACCGCTGATAATTACGCTATCGGCTACAATATAAGAACCGGATGCAATGTCGAGAATAAACAAGATAAAAGCTCTACAACTCCCCCCCCCCCGGGGGGGGGCCCGGCGGCGCCGCGGGGGAAACTTACATATAACACATGTTGATCAGATAGGCCAAGAGCGCGAACTAATCCGATGCTCTGATTCTCGCAACTGGGAAAACCGTTTCCAATTACGACGGCGCGTCTGATAACGCTGTGGATTCCAGATTCGAAGATGTCCGGTGTACCCCGGGAGGTAGGGCTAGGCGGCTCAGGAAGTCGAATTGGTCTCATCTCATGGATTTGGACGCGAATACAGAGGTTTAGCGGGCATGAGCTTTTGGCTATTCAAAAGAAGGAAGAAATTCAGCGAAGCAAATGGAATCTCCAGACAGACAGAGAAAACCAGCACGGAAGTGCAGTTTTCTCCGCACTGTGTAACCTCGAATGGCTTTTCCCAGAGTGCAAGCAACACTCGGCGACGTAAATGTTCCCGGCAAAATGAAACGGATTGGGCCACTTGCACGGAGGGAGGCCCATGGGCTTTCTTTGAAACGGAAGCCGATCCAGTTCAAGTGGGCTGGGATTTCCCGACTCTTGTGAGATGCCGCGTAACACTGGGATTTTTTCCTTGGCTAGCAAGAGACAATGAGCTAATATATCTCATAAAGGATCACCATAAAATAAAATAATGCAAGTGTGTACATACAAAGTCAAGCGAAAACAAATGGAATTTGGTTTGTGTCCTTCTTCTTGTTGTATGGACCAAATTGCAATTGAAAAGAATTTGGTCGCATGGGCGAGAGAAGTGAGAAGGCCCCTTCCCCGTTGTTTTAACCTTGTTCTCCGGGAGAACCGAAGTAAAGCAGTTAGATCAGAGACGGGATTTCAGCGGAAGAAAGGCGACACCTGTAGAAAGCAACAGAACCGGAAGTTGAAGAGAAAACGGCAGCACGGAAACCAACATCCACATGGCACTCACTCTCTCTTGACACCTACTACTGAACCTCACTCTCATTCTCTCTTCGCGTCCTTCACTTCTTCCATCCCGACCTAAGTCTCCAAGCATCACCAAATCTCTTCGATACCTTCAATTATGGCGTCGCTACGCCCGCCTCTGCCTCCGATCCACCGCATGACGGTTGTCCTCTGCACTCTTCGCCGCTCCCAATGGCTGAACCACATCCACAGCCACCACACTCATCCCCGATGCCGCCAACATATCCGCCGGCTCTTTTGGCATATTGATCGGCTCCTACTTTATATTCGCCGCCACGGGCTCATCCCTGCCACGGCGTCGATCCGCCAAGCTCCCAGTGATGGCCGCCGGGGGCAGGAGGAGGGCGTGGCTCACATTCGTCCCCAGGACGTGGAGCTGCGGCGGATGCACCAGCAGCAGCTTCAGGAGTCGATGACCCGAATCCGACATTACACAAGGCCGCTCCATCGGTACTTGCTGCGTCACCAGCCCGGCCAGCTCACCAGCGACCACCAATGCATGAACATCCTCCACATCTTCGCAAGCGAGCTCTAAAATTCGGCCCCTGACTCTGCATTTTCATGTGTCGTGTCAATGAAAATAGCTTTTTCTTTTCTCTTGGCCAAATTCTAATAAGCTCTTTCATTGTACAGTTACAGTTGCGTCAGACCTCTGTTGTTACGCCTCTTGTTTTCATGGATTCAGGGGCTTAGTTATGGGACATTAACTGAGCAAAATCCTCTTTGTAATTTATTATTGTTAGTAAATTGATTTCAATTTGTCCTTAATTACGTTATGGACGTTACATTTTTTTTTTCCAAAGCTGTTCATTTCCTTTTAAAAATTGCATTCTTACATAAAATTTAAACAAAATATCAGCAATGAAAATTGGAAATTTATTTATAATATATGTATATATATTCATAGTGGATACAATAGATGAAGTTACACATAACTTTTGTTTCGTTTTTTACGGTAAAAAATGAGAAGGGTACTTGTGACTTCATTTCTGAGGTTCTTTGAAGTTTAAACTACATATGGGATGAGAGATTGTAGTCTTACATGCGTCCACGATAGGAATATTAAGCCTATCAACGATTTAAGAGACTATGGAACAAAGAATTCGATGGACCTTATGGTATTTATGCTCACTTCTTCACAAGCTCAGTGGGATCAAGTAATGTAATTGAAGTTAACTTATATTTAACATGCGAATTTACTAATGAGAACGTTATTAATGTGGAAAGACTCGGTGATAAAATGCAGAATCAGATACAATGATTTAACTGTCTGGACTTTCAGTCCCAAAAAAAAAAAAACTGTCTGGACGGCATTTAACCTTGAAATCATCAAATTACTAAGTATTGATAATTGATAAATGGTTGTAATTCTTTGAAGTATATTAGGATATGGATGGACATTTAATTCATAACCTTTCCATCAACCAATGGATTCCAAAGCGAGATTTCCCATCATTCTAGCCAAAGGCAGAGGACACTTGGTCACAATATCAAACCTACAAAAATTCGAGGCATGTCCGAAGAGAGATAAGCTAAGGCAAGCTAATTCCTTCAGAGACAACCTTGAAGAGAGAAAGCCTTGCCAGTAATAAGGTTTCAAGTCAAAGAAAGCATCGAAGAAGCTCCTGCTTCCATTCAAGTCAAGCCTCAACAGTGTTTCCATTCCAAAACAATAAAACTCCCTTGTGAATCTTCTCTCAATTGGCCAAAGACTATCCCAAACCTTCGCATAAAGCTGCGTCCCCCTGATCATCCTGGTCGACCCAAGGCATTCCACTATAGCCCTGGCTACAACCGGGGCTAGAGCCATGGTTCGAGCCACCATGTACCCTGTTGAAGGATGGACTACCCCAGAATTCCCGCCAAAAGCCATTACATTTTGGGGTATCCTAGGAAGAGGCCCTCCCATTGGGATCAGACATTTCTCATCCTCCAATATGTTAATCACTCTTATGCCCAAGTGTCTCAGCCTTGCTACCATCCTTCTCTTCACTTGCATATATGATAACACAGGACGGCTCACAAGGGAGGTTTCTTCCAGAAATATGAGGTTGGAATTGAATGGCATTGCATATAAGAAAGTTGGAAGCTTTTTATTGTTGTCTCTCAGGTATGGCTCATTACCAAGATGGGAATCTCTCCAATCCATGAGGACCATCTTGTCCAAATCAAAAGGGTGTTCTTCCACTTCAGCCAGAATCCCATGAGCAATTTGATATCCGTGGTTTCTACGCTTAGTGTTGTAGCCTATAAAATCACTGTTAAACCCACTGGCATCGACAATTAAACTCGCTTTGAGCTCATGATTATCATCACACAGAATCGAAGATTCAAACTCCTGGTGTTCGATTTTCCATACCTTTGCTTTATAAAACGTAACCCCGTTGGAGACACATCGTCCGATCAGTTTCTCCTTCAGTTTCTTCCGACTGACCCGACCATAAGAACGGTCCAAGTATTTGACCCTGCCATCATTAATATAAACGCAAGCCATGGGCCATGTTTTGTCCAAGCAATCATGGAGGTCCAAATCCTCAAACTCGTCGAACCAGACACCATAGTTGTTGGGCCACAGAGAAAGCGGGTCAGGATCGACACAACAAACCTCAATACCATAGGTTGACACTTGCTCTGCAAGGCGAATGCCGGCTGGTCCAGCACCGATGATGATGACGTCGAATTTACGAGGACGATGATCTGACGACGGGTGAAGCAAAGGAAGATCGAAATCCAAGTTGTGCGGCTTGTTCAGAGGCTGTAAGTGAAGAAAACTACCAAACTTAGTGGTGCTAGCTCTGATCTTTGTTGGGGCCGTCGTTCTTGAGTAATAGGTGTATGAGAATAAAGGGATTGATGAAGATGGGGTTGAGTGGAAAATTTGATGAGGCGGTGGTGAGGAGGAGGTAGAAAGGGAATACATTTTTTTTCTAAGAGGCGGGTGATGGAAGAGAGAAAGCAGGAAAAGTGGAAAGAAGAAGAAGAGTGTGAGGCAGAGGGAGGAACAGACAACAAGTCAAGAAGGAATCCTCAAGCGAACCTAATAAATGAGATGCTCTCGTTGCTAATTCTGGCGTAACTTGGTTTGGTTGTTCTGGTTTCACATTTCGGCTACGTTGGCGTGTTGCGAATAATCTATAGTAGGAAAGTTTGCTACGCCTAACGAGATGTCTCCCCAACGTGAGAAGACTGCCAAATCCCTTCAAGTATAGGGCGAGGCAGAGTTTCAATGAATCCTCATATCAGGGAATGAGACAGGGATGAGATGTTGTTAGGCTTATAGGCTTCATTAGCCTCAGATGCAAAAAAGGAGAGATGACAATAAGCGTTGAAAATTAACAGTATTTCAAAAAATATAGTACAACTACATGATTAACTTTATAGAAACCTGTAAAGGAATGAACGGCTCTTGGGAAGTGTTTGGATAGAAACCAAACCATGGTTTCAGAAGTGCTTTTACGGATTACGAAGTAAATATGTGGAGGAGGTTACCTCGTTTTGCGGAAAAGTACTTCTGAAACCAAGGTTTTAGAACATCCAAACAGGCCCTTGGTCTGATGTAGGTCATGCATGTAGAATTGTATGATCCATATGATAACTGTGGTTTATGAAACTCGGGATTAAAGATATCCTGACGGGCACGTCAATTTTGCTACTATATATATGCTGAGTCTTTCTTCTCGTTCAGACTAGTCTAACAATCTCTCTCTCTCTCTCTCTCACTCTCTCTCTCACACACACACACACAGACAGACGCGCACATTTTATCTCGGAGTATAGTTGTGCAGGTGGAATAGTCATTAAAAATGTCCACCGACATGACCCAGACTATTGATTCTTTCTATTCTGAGAATTGAAATATCCTTTTATTAAGGAGGTTAAGGCTTACATATGGTGGCGGTCAGAGAATCATCATATAGAAAACATAACATAGTGCCTAGAAGGAATAGAGCGAATTTTTTAACAAAACATATCAACTACGGTTTGCAGATTTGTACGCGTATATATTCCCCTTACATAAATCAGAGAGAATGACATTTGGATATTAAATTTTAATCCAAAATAGTTACCTCTAGTCTAATTTGTGATTGGTTAGGAAGTTGGCACTTGAATTATATAGGAGTGTTGGATTTCAACTTTTTAGTTCAATTTTGGTGCGAGTTAAGGATGACTTTGTTACAAACAATCACAAATGATTCATTATTTAGTTTAGAAAAATTGTTATGAAATCTTAAATAAGGAATATAATTATTAAAAAGTCTCACTAATAACAAAGCACAACCTGCAATAATAAGTTTCACAGTAATAAATGGCAATTGTCCCTTACTATTGAGACTTGCAGATAATTATTATCTTTCTTTGAAACCTCATTGTAATTTCTTTTTTTAGTTTATCCAACTGTCTATAAAATGCCACGCGTCTTGATCTTTTTTTCTTTTTTTGGGGGGGGGGGGGTTCAGATTCAATTGCAAAACACAGAAGCCGAATTAAGTAACCATGGTGGGGCCGAAAAACACTTAACAAAACAAAGGCAAGGAGGTATCCTGGAGTGAAATCATGAGATGCTCAGTCATATTTTGCGCATTATCTAGTCTAGTGGCAAACTAAAATTTGTTTAAACTAAAACGATGTCAGTGTCAACATGAGATGAGCAATATACGAATCCTACGAAGTGAGGGGTGAGTTGGAGTTCCAATGGCCAGGTCAGCTTTCAGATGCAGGTTTTATCATAGGACAAGTGTTTAGGTGGGGATTTGGATCGTGCTAACTCTGTTACGTAGTCCAGCTCTTAATATTAAAGAAAGATGAACACGAAAATGAAGTTGAATAATTTCTTCAACTTCGAATTAAGCAAATATATATCCATTGAAGATGACACTTCAATGGATTCCCGGCTTGCATAAGTTCTTAATATTATGTCAATGCATTCATAAATGAAAGGAGATTAGATACACACTCAATCAGCAGATTCATGATACGAGATTGATCAATTAAGATAAATCACAATGTCAAATGACAATATACTCATAACAAAATTTATGGCATCAAGGGTAGCTTTTCTGTTCCTAATAAAACCGTTTTGCCTTGTGAAGAGCTCCTGTGTGTTGATGAACATATGATAAACCCTCAACCACCTGAACTAATTTTTGCACGTCTTCGCATGGCCCTAGATCCTACCCCCAACCCTCCTTTTTCCAAAGAGAAAGAAGAATAAGACAGAAAGAAAAGGGTGGCTTTAATTTGTTTCATCATCATTTGTCAACAATAAGCCCACGTATTATCAAAGGCATCAAACCAGGATCGCATTGAAACGATTACGATTTTCCCTTACTTGTGTCGCTATCTCATTCTGATCCAGCTAATGAACAAACAGGCGTGGCCATAGCCTATCCAATCACACTCCATGAAATTAACGAAGAAAAATTATTTTAGCATACATGGTAAAGCAAAATGTAAAGAATCCAGAGTCCAGACATTTACAGCGGGATGCCCCTTGATCACAGACGAGTAACTAATCAGACTTCGGCATGCATTTGTGATACTGTGCCAAAAATGACGAAAGCAATATATATATATATATATATATATATATAAGTTATAACTTTTTCTGGATCCTTGCAGATGGATGTCACTTTGACTCGCTCAACTCATAAATTGAACCAGGTAGCTTGAATCTTTCTCCAATATATATTGGCATGAAAAACCTTTGATAGTTGCAAGCCTCAGAAACATTAAACAGCAAGAGTGTCTAATCAAGATCTGCAGGACGGTAAGGTGATGCCTCCACAAGCAGCAGCAATGATGAAGTAAAGAAACAGAACAATCAAGAATGTCAACAATGCCCTGTCAAAGAAAAAAGCAAAATTAATTAAGGCAAAATTTGATGCAAGCCTTAGCACGTTCATCGCTAACATTGCATCCAGCAATCTAAGATGTAAATTTTGAATACAAAGCATAGAAAAACATATGTGCTTACAAGAGCTTGGCATTTTTCATCCAAAGAGCTCTTCGGAGGCGCTTAGACTGTTTCCTAAAGTGAAACGAACTGTCTTGCATTGTTGCCGTCTTATCCACAAGAAGCTCAATCCGGTCACCTCTCTCCAATATTTTCTCAATATTTTCCACCATGATAGTTCGAATCTGAATGACAGATTATAAGCTCTAATGATCACCAATTAAGGCCAAAGGAATATTATTATAAATGCCAAAAGAGGATGCATATTGCACCAAATACAATAAATGGCAATGTAAGTTTTTTTTTTTTTTCCTTTTTGTGGTTTTTTTTTGGGGGGGGGGGGGGGCGCTGGCTAGAGCCTAGCTAAAACTTGCCTCACCAACTTCGCTCCTCATTCGGTTGAGAGTATCTGCATTAGAACTACTTGAGAAAAATTCCATTTGCTGATGTAAAACCCTTGAAAACTCATCATTCATTGCATAAGCTGGTGCATAAAGGGCCACTCTGCTGTAATTCTTCATAAACCTCATTTGAATATCTTCCAAGTAAGCAAAAGGAATCCTCCCTAAGCCAAGCAGTAATGAGACATCACAGTAAGAAAAATAGCCATGAAAAAACAAGACCATACAGCTTAAAAATGAGTATCCAATTCGATGCATATTCACTGGAGAAAATTAGACAAAGTCTACCGCCCTGGTAGTACAAATAGCACAAAGTGCTGTATCAAGTACTGATACACATGCCGTCATGGAAAACCGTGAATTAGGGAGCACTGATCAGGAGACAGCCATAAAATTGATATGTGACCAGTTGTTGTAAGGCAAGAGAAAACATTAATGTTATGATGTTTCAAAAACTTGGAAACAAGGACAAGACCTTTCAGTAGCTGGATAACTAGAATGCATGAATAAATTTGCAAGGAGATTGAATCCTCCGAATTTGTTTCTGTGAATTGCTTGTCAAGTTGGAAAGAAAGAGTGGGTGGGCGGGAGGGAGATCCAATCTCCTTTGCAAGGAAAATGGCAAGTTAGCCGCATGAGTTAGTAATTGGCTTGTTTGAGATAGATGGAGCTTGGTGCATGCTGGTTCTGAAAGCCTTGTTGCCATTCAATGTTCCAATGTTTCTGAATTTCCAGCTGCAGCTCATTCTGGTAATCAACAAAAATTAGACAATTTGCGCTTGCAATAAATATGGAAGTCAAGTGATGCTGGTGCCTATATAAGCACTGGAGTGGAGTAGAGGGGTCTGGCCAAACAATTGCATGACAATATTTCTTGAAATTATTATATACAGGGTTTTCCAGGGTATGTTGCTTTGAAGCATTGCGCAGAAGGAAGGAATAATCTGTTTTTGGAAAGCCTGATGCCTCATTTAGAACTCCGAGTTTGCTTGGAAGATTTTCATGGTTTCGTTAACTGCTGAAGTTTTTGTCTTTCATAGATTTCGCTCTTACAATTTCCAGAGAGGAAGAGTTTTTAAGAAGTAATTAATGAATAGACTAAATGTTGAGAGCCGCGTTATGCTCAATATGAAGGCTATGGTATTGAAATACATGGCAGCAAATATTGAACAATGGAAGAAGTGTTCAGTACAGAATGATAGAGTGATGTCCTCTTTAGACTGCGAAAGATTGTAAAGAATATCTATCTTTGCCAAAGCTGAACCCCAGCAGCAAGCTCATCGTTTGCCTGGTTTTTGCCCAATGAATTTTGGTTCTTTCTTTGGAGTACTGAAATTTTGCACCCGTTAATTGGGTGGTAGTAAGGGGAGGGAAGGAAAGGAGGGGGGGGGGCTGTATTCGTTAGAATAGAGTCTATAGGCACTCCCCACTTCACAGACACATCCACTGGCAGAGAAATGACTACAACTCCCTCAGGTCAAACCCTAAATATTTCTTCCACTAGAAACCTCGCTTCCCTAGACATTTGTTTAGCGCATATTACCATACCTACAGAATATACAGCAGCGATGTCCCGACTGAAGCGAACATTTTCCAGTGCTCATCAATTAGAATGATCCGAATAAACGAAAACACAATCACTTCAGCAAATGGTCGGGGGGTAAAAGTAAAACTCACTTCCAAAGGTGTCGTTGGCCATACAGAGGTAGGTTAGGCCATCGGATCGCAGTATGTGAAAAATATAACGATCCTGAGAGAAGCACAGCCTAGAATCGACCTCAGCCGGAAGCTTCTCCAGGATCCGGCGAGCCACAGCGCCTGTATTGCCGGTGACGGCGCTGAATTCCGCCAGCACCACCGTGCCTCTCGCCACCAAAGCGTAAAGAATCGCCATCGGGAATTGGCGGCCTGAGAGAGCTTTTCCTTCTCCCTTTCTAGTTAGATCTTCGAAGCCGCATCACGAGAGGAGAAGGACATGATTGGAAATTTGAACATTTCTATTATTATTGTATACTGGTATAGTACTAGTATTATTTTATTATCGTGCTCGGCGCAAGTACGGTATCATTTTGGGTGAGGGCAGGATCGGAATTTTAAAATTCTCATATCGTTAGCCACCGGTGAGTCCAGTACTGGTTGCTCTTGTATAAGCCCTAACTAAATTTTCAGAACTCCGTGGATAAAATAAGAAATAATCTACCGACAGGAATTGAGTCTAGTAGAAGAAACTAATCCCTTATAATATGATAAACTAAGATTTGAATCTCTTTTAGAAGAGGTACTTACGTTTAGTACTCGACAATACCTCGAATAGAATTGACTCTAATAAGAGGATACATATGCTTGTAAACCACCTGCAGTTTGATCCGGAAGAGATTTAATATTTTAGCTAAGATTTTCGGCTTTATAAACAAATAGGTTCGGGTTCGCACTTGAAGCTCCTCTAAGCATAATAATATTTGAATTTATATTAGCTATCAAATTGTCGTTAATAAAAAAAAAAGCCTTCTTTAGAGGTATTTATGTATTATGTATTTACTGTAAAAAAATTTAAACAGTAACCAAAAAAAAAGTATTCTTATATGTCATTATATGTCATGAGATTATGGTTCAAGAGAAAATAAATAAGTTGAGAGATTGTTTTAACAACCAATCGAGAGCGAAATTTAAATGTGATTTTCTAAAAGATAAAGGGACGACTTCAACCATTGAATATGACTCCAATTGTAGTAAATAAAAAATAAAAAATAAACACATCAAATATAATTCTTTTATTGTAAAGATAATGACTCCCTATGTTTTATTTGATTGTTTAAATTCTCATTTTGTTTAATTTCAAACAAATCGCAGAACTCGATCTGAAAGTTTAGTTCTAATGAAGGGGTCTCTTGTCTGGCTAATTTTTAAACCCAGCTTGTATTTGAAAGTTGGGTTCATTTGAAAAAGTCGCTGCATCCAGCGTTTGCAAATTTGGCCCAAAAGAAAAACATTTTGCAAAGATTTTCGGATAAAAATACGATACTCAAAATCTATTTGCTATTTGGTTGCAAGGGTTCAAGTATTCTTAAATCCTGACCGCTAGTCATACTCTATCATTCAATCAAGCGAGTTTTTACATTAAAAATTAGAGATAATATAATCTTTGATCTTTTAGGTTTGTTTTTATTTTGATTTCAGTTTCTCAAACTTCAAACCGTAAATTTTAGTCACTCAGAGGGTAAAATAACGTAGATTTTTATTAAATTATAAAACCTAATATTCTAAATAAAAATAAACTTAAGAGACCAAAAGCTATTATTTAAACTTAAAGAACTAATGTCAAAATAAGAACAAGCTTAAGAGCCTAATAATTATATTAAATAACTTTTATGTCAATTTAAACTTATTTTTGAGATAGATGTTCAAAAATTCTCGCAAATAATACATTTCATAGCATGATCCTAATCCCAAACTTGCTTTCGGGATGATCACCTGAGGGAGAACAGAGGAGGGGACATAAAGGCAGGGGCGTTGAAGAAAATTCATGTTCATGAACATCCACTCTTGTTCGATTTTTATGTTTATTTATTTTACACCAATTATGATCCTATATTGATGGGAAATTAGTCAAATATTCTTGTATAAAGTCCCGAATATATCTTTTTTTTATTTTGTCATGTTTCATGTTCTCCCAGCTGTCAACCATGATCTTGACACGTTTTAAAGACAACAAAGACACATTCAATTTCACTGGTGAACCGCGTTCCCACCAATACATAGGAAATGGATTTACAAACTGCTATACTAATCTTGAGATGGATTGAATTAATACAAAAAACATATTCGCGTAAAATATCTTTCACGTTAAAAAAAAAATAATCCTAATCGCACCTTCTGTAAACTAAATCAAATACCAGTACTGTGTTACAAATTAAACACCTATTTCGTCATTGAAACCATCATCAGCTTCGCCTAAGGTTAGAGTCCTGCACTGAATTAGAGCCAATTAAGTTGATCCCGTTTCCATGATTATCAGAGCCAGTTTTTTTTTTTTTTTCTGGGCTTTGATTATTAGAGCCAGTTAAGTTGTTCCCATTCCCATAGAGGCTCCGGTACAGTCTCATCATTGACATTCCGATTTGCACTGCTGGATCCTCCCGCTTCTGCATGGTCTGCTCCTGAGTTTGAAGTGTCGTCCGACGAGCCTGCTCTATCGACGTCCCTTCTTCCGCCAGAACCAGAAGCTCCCTCCGCCTCTAATGGCCGTCGATCAAATGCTCTGAAGCTCCCCGATATGACGTAAACTCGGCACAAGCTGAATTCGTGCCTCAACTGTAACAAACCCACATGAATCTTCCATAATGAGATATATGAAGAATGCTATAGAGTTACGCATATAATACAGAGGAACTGATGATGAATATATATATATGTACATACCGTGGGAATGGAGGCGGCGGATTGGTTAGAGCTGGATGGTTCAATGGCTCTATATTCATGCATCTTCCACTTGGTTTTCCTTCCCGTGGGAGCTTTTCCTCTGTAAAAGACCATCGTTTTCTTCACGCCGATCACTCTGTTATCGGAAGAGTAAACGTGACCAGGAGAACCGGTGGCTTTCCAGTACCCTGAAGCAGTGGTTCTGGTTGGCCTCCCTCCTCTGGCTTCTCTTTCCTGCCTCGGGGAGAAGAAGAACCACTGCTCTGTATCACCACGACACATCTCTCCTGCAAGCTCTGCACAAACACAAGTAAATGTGAGACAAGACATGACCGTGAGGGACAACCTTATACTAAATGACACAGAAGAGTGAATTGCGGTCGTACGTGGGAGGTTCCAAGGTTCGACGTCGTGGATTTGAACAACAGGAATGACTCTGTCCATGTCTGGTCTGAGACCTTCGAGCTTGTTGTGGAGGTAGAAGGAGACGAGCTCTTCTTCTGTAGGGTAGAAGCGAAAACCAGGGTAAGGCGCCTCCATTGGGTAACGTTAATAATGTTGAAGCTGTGTTTTGTGTAGATTTAGTTGAGATTTGCATGTTTAGGGATGAGATGATGTAGCAGCGTATTTATAATACGGCCACCAAAAACAAGCAGAGGTGGGACAGGGGATAGAGATTCAGCGTGTGAAGTGAGAAACTTTGGAGAGAGGGTGTTCGAGGTTGATGGGAGTAGAAACTTCCACGCGGTTGTGGGAGTGAGAATTTGTCTTTGTGCCCCGATAGGGTTTTCCCCTTCTCTGTGGCCCTATGCCTCTGTGCTATCCCATGAACCTTTTGAATCAGTCTTGTGTTTTTTGTCACTTTCTGGGCTGATGTGTCGGTTTGTTAATAGATGTCTAAGACTTTTTCCCCCTTTTCTCTGCACTTTTGGGCCATATGACATAGAGAAACGTTATTATAGGCGTGTTTAGAATAGTTTATAAATAATTTATTAATAATTTTTTAATAATAATTTACAGAATACGAGACAAATATATAAAAAAAGTTTTATTTTGATTTACATAAAATATGTTTATAAAAAAATTTTTAAACCCTCATAAACAGACCCTATATTAGAAGCCAGGTTATTATGACATACTACCTCCGTCATATAATATAAAACCTAATCTCTAGTATGAAAAGTTTGCAGCATAATTTACATTATGAACTAGTTCTTATATTTAGTAGTGAATGTAGTATTTGATAAAGATTCAATTTATAACCTGTAAAGCCGTGGATTTAGCTAAAAAAATCTGGATTCAAACCTTATTACCCTCATGAGAATTTTATCACCGAGTTATTTTCATGTGCATTGTATAAAAGATCTCTTCTTTGTTGGTGCGCTTCTCATTTTTTCCCTTGTATAGAGATAACATAAATCCAACTAAAAAGCATGTATATTTTTAGTCTTGCTTGTGTCTTGGGGAATAAAATCAAGACTGTATAAGCAGCCTTGTCTCACAAGGAAAAACTTGAAAATGGTTTCTTCAAGACTTCAGCAATCTGGGAACATGACATCATCAATTCATCAGTTTTGCCATCTGACCATGACATGACACTTCCCATATATGATTTTTTTTTCTTGGTGAGATATATGAGGTTAGTTTTGACCCGTTAAAACTTATTTGCTCTCCTTGCTTTTCTGGTTACAAAATTCAATTAAAAAAAGAGCTTGATGTACCTGAAAGGCGTTATTCTGAATGCTACACTCTAATCGCCAAGAAATATAAACAAAAATTATATTTACTCATTTAAGTATCACAGATAGAAAAAGCCATATTAAAAAAACTACTACCTCCTGTCCTTAAATAAGATCCTGTTTGACTTTTATTTTGGTTCTAAATATAAGATCCCAATTCACTTTGTCTCTCATATTTATATATTTTTTTCAAAGCAGCCCTTCAAATAATAATAGTTATAGTCAATACACTTGATTAGTAAGGAAATTTTAAGAAAGACAACACCTAATTATAACAAGTAACTAACTCAACTTACTTTCTTAATCTTCTCAAATTAGTCAACTAGCTCTTATAATTAGGATCAGAAGAAGTATCACTTACGCCCAACCCATCTAAAATATTTTTATAAATTTAAAAGCAGTATGACTTATTATGAATTTTATATTTTATACTGATGAGTTACATGTTTATTATTTTCTATGAAAGTAATTTTATATATGAATGTTTAAAATACGGCAAAATCATTTCAAGTTATACGCATAAGTCTACGAGTAAGCTAGTATCCGTGTTATTTACATTCAACACCTGATGTTATTTTATTTGTGTATCCAATACTCTTGATGTTATCTTCTAGTTATATCTAGTATCTTTAATCATATTTATGGTTTACGATGCTGAATCCCAGATGGATTATAAATAATATTTCCTTCAGTTCAAAATATAACATGAACTTTGTGAGAAAGATTTAGTTTTTTTTTTTTTATAAGATAACATTCATTTTTACGTAAGCATTCTCATTTTACCTTAACACATATTTCATTTTTTTATTCATTTATTATATCTTTTACTTATTTCTTCATTAATAAAGGCATATTTAGAGAAAAATACATGTCTTGTATATTTACGGTTTTAAATTGAATTTAACTAATTTCCTGATAAACGTAAATAGATAAAGTTTATTTTATATTTTAAACTGAAACGAGTACTATGACATTGAAATACTAATAAAAAATATTACCTCCGGTCCTTAATACAAGACCCTATTTGACTTTTATTTTGGTCTCAAATATAAGACTCCAATCTACTTTATCTCTCATATTTATACTTTTTTTTCCAAAATAGCCCTTCTAACAATGATAGTTCTAGTCAATACACTTGATTAGCAAGGATATTTTAGGAAAGACAATACCTATTTAAGACAAATAACTAACTTAACTTACTTATTTAATCTCCTCAGATTAGTCAACTGGCTTTTATAATTAAGACTGGAGGTAGTATAACATTAGGATAATGAATAGGCTATAAATAAAACTCGGATATTGGATGTAACTAAAAAAAAATATTAGGTGCTCCATATTACTTTGCCCTAAATTTAAAGGGGCGGGTTTTTTATTCAAGAAAAATAAACGCCGAGGGGGAGCCCGTATTGTTGAGAGGGTCATAGAGACTACCCGGATATTATAAGCAATGTAAACGGGACTTGGTCTTTGGGCATAACTTTGGGCCACAAAGGGCAATGTCAAAACATGTGCTTGGTCCCACCCACGTACAAGAACACGATCCTTTTATGGAAAGATCCATCTGACATTTGACATCTATGTATTTTATGGGACCTTGATTTTTTGGCTTCCCTTCTAAAATAATAATTCAAATAATTCTCAGATAATCCAGATACATTTTGTAAATCTTATATTAATTCGCCAAAAAGTCCAACAAAAGTCTCCTGCGTATGCTTTGCGTACTGAAGACTTCTGTACGCTACGTCATCCATTTTTGTCTCTACTTTAAGGACCGAATCAACTTGTTACACATGTAGTAAACGTAGTTTTTTATACAGACTGAGACCCTTTTTTTTTTTTTTTAAGTTTTGTATGCCGAAAATACAGACGGAGCCTATAATTCTATAATTACCCAAATTATAATGGCAAATGACACAATAATTAATGCTGTTAAAGATCAGCTAACATGATGTTTTTTTTTTAAAAAAAAAATCTATAATCCGGTTGCCAAATGCATAAGTCTCTATCAAATCAGGGTTAACTCAGCGCATTGAAATCCATTTAATTTTTCCAAGTATCTTTAAATTAAAAGTGATCGTCTCGTATCAAATCAATTCCACGTAATTTTAATTAATTATCAATAGCAAATAGATAAACGAATACGGCGGTGGTGGAGATGCCAGTTAAGGAAGTGATGAGTAATGTAATGAATCAGCGAAAAAATATATATGGAGGGGTGAAATGAATTGAGGAATGAGGGAAGGATTAAGATTACTATATTGGAGATGGGAGCAGGGGTAAATATTAGAGAAAATCACTGCATAATCAATGAATGATAAGTTTTACTGCCCCCAATTCTTATTTATAGTATATAAATAAGATCTTATAAATAAAATTATATAAAAAATAATAACAAATTGGGTGACGGTGCATTATTTTTAAAAAAAAAAATCTGACAGTAATTTCACGTATTCTGGGGGAAGGAAAGGTTCAATGCGGGAGAAAAGGACAACAGCGAAACGTGTGGCCATTATTCGCTGCCTTTCTCTGCTCACCAAACCAAACTACGCTATCGCTTTCCTTCGTCTTTCCGCGTACATCTTGCCATTCGGGCTTATCTGAGGGGCCCACCTCGGTCCCACCACTTTTTCTTTTGGATTTTAACGGAATATTCTTCCTTATCAGCTACGAGTGGGCCTATGACCCGGTAAATTCTCTACGTGGTCATCTGTTCCACTTATTTAAATACTCTTCTAATTTTATTTATATCCTATTTATAAGGTATTTAAAGAATTTTTTATATAAATATATAATTTTATATTTTATTTATTATTATATCGGTTTTGTTTATATAAAATATAATATGTATTAAATAGGAAAAAGTTGAAAAGCTGTTAAATTTTAAATAAAAACTAATGAAATTTAAGATTTTTCGCGATTTGTATGAAACATCAAACATATTAAAAATGATTTATAAATAGGACAAAATGAGTAATAATTAATTTTATTCATTTAAAACTCAAAAAGGCACAATATTTCAATGATAAATCTTACTATTTAAATATATACATTCAGACCCTAAAACAGGTCATGTCGTATGTAATTAATTCTATCAAGTCCACTTACCTATTTTGTATTTATATATTTTAAAAATCTTCACATTATTCATTTTTTACAAAAACCTAAAGTATACATTTGATCTTTTAACTTCTTATAAGGTTTTAATTTAGTCTCTTAACTTTAAAAATCATAGAATTGATCCTTTAGTCCTAAAATCATTAGATTTCAGTGATGATTTTTTGTAACAATTATATATGTTTTGAAAATTAAACTTAATATGTTAGCATTTGAGAATATTTTATCAACATTTAAGATCTTAAGGTCATCATTTTCTAAAAAAAAAATAGGATTAAAGGATTAAAAATATACTTTTTAAAATTAAGAACCAGATTAAAACTTTGTACAATGTTAAAAGACCAAATATATACTTTAGCCTTTAAAAAAAAACAATTAATAAAGAAGATGAACGAGGATCATAGTTTTGAGTTTATTTTATCGACTCTCACTCCATTGCATAAACGCTTTATTTTATCATGTCCCGCACAAAATTTCTTGAAATTGAAATGTGGTCGAGATATTCTTAAGGACAATATTGATTTATGAGTTATGTATTTGTCAGGTCTGTATTTCACATTTGTGATTCATAGGCAGGCATATCTACATGTAGATACACAAACCCCGGGCGCCTTCTTTGATTTAAATGAATGTCTTAGTTCAGACTTTCAGACCAGGCAAAGGGGTGGGAAAAAGGCACTTCGATTG